CCTTTCTGTATCTTTCCTGAGGTTTTGGCTGTTTTCCCCCTGCTGCTATGGTTTCGTTGCTATTTGAAGTCCTGCCGTGAGGCAGTCTAACCTTGTTTCTCTTTCTCTTTATATGCAGTCCCTCAAACAAGTTATCAGGGTTTTTTTTTCTCTCCTTTCATCCTCCTTCACGTCCCTCAGACCCACACTCTAATTCACGTTGCACTTAGTTAATTTAGCAAGCTGTAAAAACTAATCTGTTTAATCTTTTTTATTACAAAAAATAGTCCTTAAAAAGATTTATTGTTGACCAAAATTACTTTCTTAGTTGATGAAATATGTGGTGAACACCTTTTTAATCTAGACCCTTTCTCTCCCACCCTGGGTTTCTGTGACTTTGCTCGGAACTCCTTGCTTCACACAGCATTGCATAATAGGAAAGGTAGGACTAGGGGACTCTTCTCAGTCTTCAGCCTCATTTTTATCAAAAGGTTTCTGATAGGATATCCAGGAATGATTTTGCCTCCCAACATCATCTTCTTATGCTGAGTCAGACTCAGCAGTACTCTCCAAAGCATCAAATGCACATAGTTCCCTGGGATCAGATAAATTCAGAAACTCCAATTATATAGGTTCACATTACAGAATGTTTTCTAAGTCTATACATTTGTATGCGTACGTGCCATGCTAGCATGATTACAACAATGTTGTAGTTTTGTTTTGAGATAGAAGTTAGTCAAATTCTTTGGCTATTATCCTTCTTAGCTAGCTCTATTTTTTTTTTTTTTTTTAAAGATTACCGGTAAGGGGATCTTAACCCTTGACTTGGTGTTGTCAGCACCACACTCACCCAGTGAGCTAACCAGCCATCCCTATATGAGATCTGAACTCGTGGCCTTGGCAGCACCACACTCTCCCGAGTGAGCCAAGCACCGGCCCCTTCCGGTGTTGTCAGCACCACACTCACCCAGTGAGCTAACCGGCCATCCCTATATGGGATCTGAACTCGTGGCCTTGGCAGCACCACACTCTCCCGAGTGAGCCAAGCACCGGCCCCTTCCTAGCTAGTTCTTGTTAATATTAACCAGGGTATTGTTTGTAGCTCAGTGCTTTTTATATAGGATAAGCTTTAATAAAGGTCTTGATTGACATATTTGACTACGACTAAATATAGTTTGACTTTTAAAAATTTTAATGAAATCTTTAATGTGATAGTTAACCATCACATACATACTAATTATGTTTCCATTTTACAGGAAGAGAAACCAAGAAAAAGTAATTAATCTACTTGATCCAGTTGATGTAGTTTGATAGTTAAATGTTTATGTAGAGGCCAGCTATTCCGGTTTTTTAATAATCTTTACTTGCTCTTCCTGTTGTGTGTTAGGTCTTCCATGTAACAGGATAATTGGGGTTGATAAGTGACAGTAAAATACAAATCATATAACTTTAGTTCATGTTCTTAAGAGTGTGATAGACTATATAGGTGATAGCTAGTAGCTTAAATAAAAATTTGAAATGATTTAGGAAATGTGGGTTTAAATGGGTTGTGTAAACCTTATTTATTATCTTTGCTGTTTTTAGCTGAGCCATTAAAATTTGGCTAAGTTATTTACCAATATTACGGTTTTTCCTCATAGTAAAACTTAGTAGTTCATGACTCTAACACTATATATCTATAGGTTCTAGGTAGATTAAAAGATGAAGAAATTCGATGTCGAAAATACTTAAATCCAAGTTCATATACTAAAGTGATTCATGAATGTCAGCAACGAATGGTAGCAGACCACTTGCAGTTCTTACATGCGGAATGTCATAATATCATTCGACAAGAGAAAAAAAATGGTAAGTGATACCAAACATAAATGTGAATAGAAATTAAATTATAAACCCACTTTTTACATCATCATCCAGCCACCTTAGATTTAAAGCATATTTTAGTAATAGTCTTTAAAATATTGATGTACTTACTTACAAATTATTAATAATGTATTTTGAAAGACTATTTTGGAAAAGTATATTTTCAAAATGTATTCTAAAGTCAAAAGAAAAACTGGGAAAATGTGTTTATACATTTTTATATATCAAAAGGTCTAATTTACTTCATACATTTAGAATTCCTAATAAACAGTAGGAATAAAGGCATAACTATGAAAAGGAAATATAAATATGTTTTAAATATATGAGGAGATATAGGAGAAATACAAAATAAAAATACAGTGAGATACCAGCAATAAATAGTGGAATAAAAAGAATTTTTTTAGAGAAAGAGAAATTATCAAATAGCAGGAAATAAATATAATAAGACATGTGCCAGACCTACACAGAAAATTAAACATTGTTGACAGCAACATTGATTTGTAAATCCAAGGCAATCTAATCAAAACCCAATAAAAAAAAAATTTTTTTAATTTATAAAGAAAATGAAAATTTATTGCTTACAGTTTCTGAGGCTGGGAAGTCCAAAGTCCATCTTTTTTTTCTTTTTTAATTCTGAAAGCTATACTCTTAGACTAAGAATGGCCAACGTAATCTTGAAGAGCATGATGGAAAGACTTTACAGGATAGCAAGATGTCATGAAGCCACAAGAATTAAGACAGAGAGGCATTGGTACAGGATTAGACAGACCAGTGTAATAAACAATGTGTAGAAGCAGCCCATGCATATGTAGATGCTTGATTTAAGACCAAGGTGGACTGCAGAGCAGTCAGTGAAAGATGGTCATTTCTCACACAGTACTGAGTCAACTGAATACCCATTTGGGAAAAAAAAATGAAATTCGATCTCTACTTTAGACACTGTAAACAAAATCAATTCATTACAGGTAGCAGTCAGTGAAAGATGGTCATTTCTCACACAGTACTGAGTCAACTGAATACCCATTTGGGGAAAAAAAATGAAATTCGATCTCTACTTTAGACACTGTAAACAAAATCAATTCATTACAGGTTTTTTTTTTTTTTTAAATCTAAACATAAAAGGTAAAACAATAACACTTCTAAAAGGTAATATAGGAGAATATCTTCATAACCTTGAGGTAGGGAAAGATAATTTAAATAGGACACAAAAGTGCTAACCACAAAGGAAAGATTGATCCAGTGGACTACATTAAAATGGAAAACTTTGGATCATTAAAAGACGATTAAGACCACTGGATCATCAAAAGAGCATCAAGGGCTGACTGGTTAGGTCACTTAGAAGACTGTGGTGCCGAGAACACCAAGGTCAAAGGTTCAGGACCCATACCTGGGCCAGCCCAAGAGAAAAAAGAAAAAGGGACACTATCTTGAGAAAAGAGCATCAAAGGACAGTCATAGGGTAATATATTTGCAATGACTGAAAGAGATTTATATTCAAAATATAAAATGGTCAAGAATCTTGAATAGGCATTGCGGAATACTGGTAGAAGATATCCAAATGGCCAATAAACACAAAAAGGGACTCCCATCTCATTAAAATAGAGGAATGCAAATTAAAATTAGACTAAGATATGAGTACTTACATTTTATATAAAATTAAAAAGACTGAAAATAATAAGTATTGGGAAGTGTGGAAAGTAGCAGGAACTTGTTATACACTGGAGTGAAAATGTAAATTGATATACCCATTTGAAAAACTGGCAGGATATGTGCATATTTTATGATCCAGTGGTTAGACTCCTAGGCATGTACCTCCCCCGGCCAAATGCATGCAAGTATGTGCAAAAAGAAAGGTGCAATTGAAAAACTGGCAGGATATGTGCATATTTTATGATCCAGTGGTTAGACTCCTAGGCATGTACATCCCCCGGCCAAATGCATGCAAGTATGTGCAAAAAGAAAGGTGCAATGGGCCGGCCCAGTGGCACACTGCTATAGTGCGCCGCTTGGGAGCGTGGTGGCGCTCCCGCCGAGGGTTCGGATCCCACATACGGACCGGTTCCCGCTCACTGGCTGAGCGAGGCGCGGGAGCAACACCGAGGGTTGCGATCCTGTTGCCGGACACGGAAAAAGAAAAAGAAAAAAAAAAGAAAGGTGCAAGAATGTTTATAGCAACATTATTTGTAATAGCCCCAAACTGGAAACAGCTCAAATGTCCAATAACAGTAGAATGAAGTACAATGTATTTATACAATGGAATATTACAGAGGAGTGGAAATGAACAAATTAAAGATACATACAATAACACAGATGATCCGTATAAACATTACATTGAAGAAACCAGACAGGAAAGAATTGTGTGATTCCATTTTTATACATAGTTCAAAACGGGCAAAACTAATCTGTGGTTTAGTGGTCACAACAGTGGTTACCTTTGCAGAGGAGCAAGAGGAGTAGTGATTGGGAGGAGGCATGAAGGGGACTTCTGGGTATAGGTAATGTCTTTTTCTTACCCTGGGTGAGTTGTGTGTTCACTTGTGATAAATCATTAGATATACACTTATGGTTTGTACACTTTTCTGTGTGTGTATTATACTTCAGTAAAGAGTTTAAAGTAAAACTCACTGTGCTGAGACATCATTTTTCACCTCTCGGTGTCAGATTTTGATGTTTGATAACACTGTTGGCAAGGGAGTTCCCTGCTGTTGGGAGCTCTCTTTAGAAGGATATGTCTACAAGATTAAAACTTTGACACAGCAGTCCCACGTTTAGGGATTTATACTACAGATATTCTTGCCCATATACAAGATTATTAATTGCAACATTGTTATATCAAGAGATTGGGAACAACCTAAATTTCCTTCAATTGTTAAGTAATTGTAATATATGAATATCATCGAGTACGATGCAGTTGTAAAATATGTGGAAGTGCTTATATACTGAAATAAAAAGACCTCTAAGTTAAAAAGTGTTCTGCAGCTGCAAGTAATACATAAAATATGCTACACTATTTGTATAAGAAGGGACAGGGGGAAGAATATGTGTATTTGCTTGAATGTGCATAAAACATCTTTGGCAAGCTACTAAACAACCACAACATTGCTTTCCTATGGGGGGCAGACTGGGTGGCTGGAAGATGGGGTTTGGGGGACTTTTCTCTGCATATACTCTTTTGTACTACTGTATTTTGAACTATATATTACCTAATAAATTAAAAATATTTGGACATTTAATAATCAGATTTCTTTTTCCCCTCAGACATGGCAAATATGTATGTCTTACTACGTGCTGTGTCTACTGGTTTACCTCATATGATTCAGGAGCTGCAAAATCATATCCATGATGAGGGCCTTAGAGCAACCAGTAACCTTACTCAGGAAAATGTGAGTTGTATAAGGAACTGGAAAGTTGTTCTCTTAATCAGATTTATCATGGAATTTTTCTTTTGATTTTACTGTTTTAATGTTTTAAAAGATGAAAGAAAAAGTCTTACTGTGCCAACAAATGAAATGTCTTCATTCAAATGCTTTAAGTCTAGAATTTGTTGGACTTATTTTGGAAGGATCAAATAATTAGAAAACCATTGAGTGAAATTGGATGCTTCTTAGCCATACTGATTTGTTAATTTAGCAATTGTTAGCCTCTCACAGAAAAATGTTTGCTATTTTTAATAATTGTGTTTCTGTGTAACTGGCATTGATATTTAGTTGCATTGGAAGTGGTACTAGTCAATGGTAATATAGACAACTTGCAATTCGCTTTCTTTACATATCCTCTGATTTTGGTTGCCAGGAAGCAAATTTAGATTAAAATAATCTTCCCTGACTATATGCTTGCTACCCAAAATAATCAAAACAGTGACCCTCACATCCCTAATATCCATTTTTCTCAAGAATACTTTGCCAATCAAATGACTATTTACAATAATTTGGCTTTTCTATCAAAGTGAGTTTCTATCATCAAATCTTGTTGGACTGCGTTCCTTATTATTAGTGATATTTAATGAATAAGATGGATATAATGGTAAATGTTACTTCTATTTTTGTCGTAAGTAGAACTGTTTGCCATATAATACTGTTTGCACCTATTTCTGTGTATAGACATTGTTCAGGAGCGCTTACTAGATGCTGATCCACCTAGGTGTAGATTTGTCTTTGGCAAATAATAATTCTTAGTTTTTATGTTTTGCCACAGTAATGCATGAGTTTTCTATTTTTTGTAGTACCATTAGTATATATTATTTACGTTTCTTACTCTGTATTGTTTCTTAGGCTTAATGTATTATTAGGCTTATAGATTCATAGTGTTGAACAACATTGGGCCTTGAAGCATAAAGTTTGGTATCAAGGCTGAGAGATGGAAATATAAGAGAATGCATTTGTAGTGGACTCAAATTCAGCCAACTTAGTTAAAGTCTTAGGTACTAACTTCTTCATAGTTATCTCCATTAAGGGACACAACTCACTTTTGCACTGCTCTGTATGTCTTCCCTCTGAGATGGGGGGGATCGCACTGCCCAGTTTCAAGGATCACTGTTCTCATGGATACTGGTGCATTTTAACTCTCCTCTCTTTTTCAGCCTTAAGTGACTTAGTAGGCAGTCTTTTTTCACATAATCCTCTATGAAAGTGATATGCCTGGGGCTCACCGGTTAGCTCAGTTGGTTAGAGTGTGGTGCTAATAACACCAAGGTCCGGGGTTCGATCCCTGTACCAGTCAGCTACCAAAAAAAAGAAGGAAAGAGATAGGCCTGGTAGTTCAGAGATTGTATCTTGTTACCCTTAAGGTTTGGTATTCCAGCACAAGACAGAAGTGTGCTTTTGATGGGTTCTTCTGGCAGAGGTTCTAGATAGTTCTGGAGTTGAATGACAAGATAATTTCAACATCAGTTTTAGGTTCTTAAGACTATCTTAACTAAAAACATTTTCTGAGGAGTATATGTGTGTAAAACATAATTTACTTGGAGGAAGCTTAAGTCTTTAATAAGCCTAATTTTATTCTTGAGCTTTTTAAAATGTGACTTTGTACTTTGTATTTTATATTTTTAGATGCCAACACTATTTGTAGAGTCAGTTTTGGAAGTACATGGTAAATTTGTTCAACTTATCAACACTGTTTTGAATGGTGATCAGCACTTTATGAGTGCATTGGATAAGGTAACTTTTTAATACATATATACTAAATGTGTATATAAAATTCTCTGTATTATTCTTTAGGCATTTTTCAGGATTAGGCTTCTAAGTATGAGATTTCTGATCTGACCTGGAGATTAACCTTAAGTAACTAATTTAAATATGAATGTCAAAATAATGTAACTTAAAATAACTAAATGATTGAATCAAATTGTGGAATTTCCCATGATTATGCTATGTTAGGGAACTTGTTAATAAACTAGTTATCTTTTGAAAATACATGCATAATTTTAATATTCTTTAGTACTGATTTTTCCTTCAGTATAATACTTAGGCTATATTGAATAATATTTGAAAGAAAAGTAAACATATTTTACAATTTTGAGTTTCGGTATTCTTCAAAGGAAATTTGCTTACAAGGTTGTTGTAAATAAAAAAATACTGTTATTTTATCTGTATTCAAATTTCAGTAACGAGTTATAAAGAATATCTTGGAATAGGAGCAGGATATATGATTTTTATATAATTAGGAATGTAGCTACAGGAGTCTGCACTATGTTAGATATGTAAACAGTATTAACAGATGACCACCAAAATGCTGTGTTTTGTGTGGAGTGGTAATTTTGGATCTACAGATTATACCATATATTGAAACAGCTATGCTTTTGCCCTATTGCTAGTGGCTAATTACTGGCCTGTTTTCTATTTAGGCCCTTACATCAGTTGTAAATTACAGAGAACCCAAATCTGTTTGCAAAGCACCTGAACTGGTAAGTTTGGTGGTTGCTCATCAAGTGTTGATTAGATTTTTGACTTGTTTCTAGTTTGGGTTTTTTTTTTTTTTTGTAAGTTTGGTGGTTGCTCATCAAGTGTTGATTAGATTTTTGACTTGTTTCTAGTTTGGGTTGTTTTTTTTTAATTAATTTACCATATGATGTATATTTTAAGTTATTTAGTTTATGTTCATGATTTTTAAAACATAAGCTTTAGGACAGCAAAGATCCCATTTTTTTTATCTTATTTTGTATTTTTGCCACTTTGCTTCCTTTGAGGCATGATAATATGCAGAACACCCCTTTATAAGATATCAATTTCTATTTTAGCTTGCTAAGTACTGTGACAACCTACTAAAAAAATCAGCAAAAGGGATGACTGAGAATGAAGTGGAAGACAAACTCACAAGCTTTATTACTGTTTTCAAATATATCGATGATAAGGATGTTTTTCAAAAGGTAAGTTGTGGATAGAAAAGTTTTTTTGTGTTTTAGTCAGCTTTGATTTATTTTTGAACTTTAAGTCATTAGAAAGGAAGTAATCTTTTAAATATTTTTTAATGTAGTTCTACGCAAGAATGCTGGCAAAACGTTTAATTCACGGGTTGTCTATGTCTATGGATTCTGAAGAAGCCATGATCAATAAACTAAAGGTAATGTAAGGCTTTGATCTGGTAATGTTCTAGAAATTATTCTTATTTATTTAAGCATGTAAAGATGTTTATTGCGACATTGTAAGTAATAACAGGAAATAATCAACAGGGACTGTTTAAATGTGTAATGGTGTATTCATACAGTGTGCTACGTAATTACTGTACTAAAAGGACAAAATCTACCAATATATACTGATACAGAAAGAGCCACAAGATAATTACTATTAACTTTAAAAAGACTAGTATTACTTAATACACCTAAAGTAGTCCTTTAAGTACAAGTTTTGGAGTGCAGTTGAATTTCAGTTCATTTTTACAGCATTGTAGCTTACACAATTGTAGGTGATTTGTGTTTATCCTGAGTTATTCAGTAGTTGAAAATTTTCCTGCATAGGAGACATTGAATATAAATTGCATTCCTTTTTAAACCTACCAAAAATTACCTTTTAATTTTTAAGAGTAACGTTAACAGAACAAAAGCTTTTTATATCCCAAGGTTAGAGATTCAGATTTTCCAACCTGGTGATGAGAGTTTTGAATAACTTCGAAGAAATAGATTTCTCCATCACTCAGTAGATGGTATTAAAAATATGCCTAAGTGCCTTCCTTTTTTAATTGACTACTGGCTAGAGTGTTCCCAGTATCTTTCATGTATATCTATAAACCTTACAAAGTATCTTGTATATAATAATGGAGCATTTTGTAGTGTTGAAATAAGATATATGGATTTACAGAAAAGTTTTTGTTTTAAAGGGAAATTTGGGGGCCGGCCCGGTGGCGCACTGGATAGTGCGCCGCTTGGGAAGCGCGGCAGCGCTCCCGTCCGAGGGTTCGGATCCCACGTACAGACCGGCTCCCACTCACTGGCTGAGCGAGGCGCGGGAGCAGCGCCGAGGCTTGCGATCCCATCGCCGGTCCCCGGTCCGGTACGGGGGCGACACTGAGGGTTGCGATCCGTTGCCGGACACGGAAAAAAGACAAAAAAAAAAAAAAAAAAGGGAAATTTGTTTCATAAATGTGCGCTTTCATTTACTTATTTATTCTGCCTTTAAAAAGAAAGAAATTTTTGGAAGGTTTTAAATAGCTGCTTTGGGTTATGAATAATATAGGCCTTCACCTTTGACCAAAAGACCTAGCAACACATTTTTACTAATCAGTCTCATTTTATTTATCCACTGATACTTGATGGACATTTGGGTTGTTTCCACTTCTTGGATATATGAATAATGCTGCTATGAACATTTGTGTAAAAGTTTTTGAGTGAATATGTTTTCATGAAACTGACCCTTTTTGATTTTTTAAGCAACCAAAAGAGGCTTCTTATTTCTTGATGGGATGGAAGTTTGGGTGGCAGTTTTTTCTAGAGAAAACTTCATCATTCTTTAATAATACCTTAAGTGGGCACTGATTTAGGTTGTGAACCAGTAAGTTGGGCATACATTTATGACATTTAAAATGAAAATGTTATTTCATTACACTGTAGGGATGGTGACAATGAGTAGTTTGTATCATTTTTTAAAAGTATGTTATTTTTGTTTCTTTTAAAATGAAGATTATAAGCAAAATAGCACAATACAGGCACTGGAATCATAGTTTTTGGTTTCAAATGTCTATTATGGCATTTACTACTCTCTGACTTTGGCAAATAACTTTCTAACCTTCTGTTGTTAACTGATAATTGTGTTACCTCAGAATGTTGATATGAGGATGAAATGAAATAATGCATGTAAAGCACTTAGTATAGTATAATAGTTATAGTGGTATTAGTAATAGTAATAGGTATAACCAGTCAGGTAGATTTCAGGATACCGAGAATAAGGTAGGCTTTCGGAATAAGAGTCTATCTGTGACTTTTCTACATCTTTGAAAAGAGATTATAGCACACACTGTCTTAGAAACTGTATGAAGAAGAGCATTCCTGCAAGCATCCATTGGATGGACAGGGTGTAGTCCCAGGTTATTACGCATTTTGCAGAAAGAATAGATGCAGGCTGGGTCTGGGGATGGGGTAGCCAAGTGAAGCATTTTGATGTATTTGTGACCAGCCAAGAGAAAGAAAATTGATCCCTCTGCCCCGTTGACAGTCTTACAACTTACATCTTCTTAAAACCCTGCTTCTCTAATTGAAATTAGGGCGTGAGTGGGGGCTGGTTAAAGTTTTCTTCTAACATTATGTCCTTCTTCACTCTCTCCTTGAAATAAGTATTTTCTTTTCTTTTTTTTTTTTTTTCCTTTTTGTCTTTTTTTTTACTGACCGGTAACGGGATCGCAACCCTCGGTGTCGCGCCCGTGCCGGGGACCAGCAACGGGATCGCAACCCTCGGTGTTGCGCCCGCACTGCGCTCAGCCAGTGAGCGGGAACCGGTCTCCACATGGGATCCGAACCCTCGGCGGGAGCACCACTGCGCTCCCAAGCGGCGCATTCTCCAGTGCGCCACCGGGCCGGCCCGAAATAAGTATTTTCTACTAATAATTTTTGACCCCTTAAACTTTATTTATTATTAATTAATTTATTATATATTTATGACCTTCATCAGGTTTTATAGTTTCCTCATTTATAAGTAGGAAGTGGGTTTCTTTCTGATTTTAAAATTACGATTCCAAGAATATTGTTCTCTCTCCATTTAGATTCTCTCTAATTACCAGTAGAGGGAGTTTGTCCTTATATTTTTTCCTAGTAATTCCAAGTTTTCAGTTACGTAGGATTGAAATCCGTTTGTATACTTAATAATGTACATTTTTCACATGTAAATTAATTCATCTTGCCTTAGTGAGGACTTGTATTTTATGTACAAGTCTTATATACTTGTATGTCATAGTCTTAAATATAGCTATTTATCAAAAATTACTTCACTTTTACACAAAAGTATCTTAAAACTATGGGAATAAAGCTGTAATTAAAATTTATTTTACATTTTAAACCAATAAATCTTGTTATATTTCTTTTGTGCATAGTCCACAAACCTGAGTATTATTAAAAAATAATCTAGCGTATATTAACGTAGCTCTCTGTTAGAGGTGAAAAAATTCATTGAATATGAAGTGTTAGTTTTTAAGGCTCTTTGAGATCTAATTAATGCCCTCAAATGGTATTTGAACAATGCCATTCTTTAGTCTGTTTCCTTTAAATGAGAAGTTTAATCAGCATGTATTTCTTACTAATAAACTTTGATAATACAGTTATTTAATGATACAGTTGACCAAGGTTTTATAACTGTTGTCTTTGTATTACCAGATGAATTTATAATAATTCTATTTAGAGCTGAATCTTTTTGTTTTTTACTAGCTGTAGATATGAGTCTGTAATCAGATTTTAAACTTAAGGATAAAAGAATATTTTCTTTTGGCGTGTTGATATTACCAATAAAACATTATTGAATAGTTCTAGTTTCTAGGAGTATAAAGAGGTAAAACCTGTTTTTAGTGCTTGGAAAGCTAGTTTTGTACTTAAGTTATTTATAAAGAGCACTTTTAGGCTTGAGTTTCTCATTTTCAAAAATGTTTTATTTTTCTTTTGTCCACAAATTCATTTTAAGTGTTTTATAGATAAATTATGAGTTTTATAAGTAGTAATGAATTTTATTGACATCCATGGAGGTTATTAGTTAGTCAAAGCATACTTCTGGAGTCCCCTTATCACATATTTTGGTTTGCTATTTGTCTGGTTAGAACCAGGCAGACAATCTTAAGTATTTCAGGTGCCAGTCATTTCCTGTTTATCACAGAAGGGGGTTGATGGGTATGCTGGCAGAGGAGGATGCAGCACTATTGGAGGGAAAACATGCTTAGCAAATTTCAGCTTCCTTGGACTAGGCGAACTTGGAATAAGCTGCTGAAAGAATTCACTAATTCTCTTGGCTGGAGCTGTAAACTTTGGTTTTAAGGAGTGGGCATAGTACAGCTGATAGTTCAGCTGTTGCTGATTGCTTTATTTAACGTTCTTTTTGAAAGTACAAAAGATAAAGCTTGATATACAAATAAAAGCCTTAGGTATGTTACATAAGGCACATCATGTTAAAAGTATGTCAACAATTCTGAACTCTTATGACGTGGTGCAGTTTATTTTTCCGTTTTATAAAGAAGTTGAGTTTTTCACATTTTGGTATAATTTTCCTGTTGTATATTATGTACTAGCTCTTTAAAAGACATGAACTCTGTATTTTTGGATTGATGTTCTATAATTACACATTCAGTCCAGGGAAGGAAATTTTAACATTTCAAAGCTACATTAATAGAATGTTAAATTATTCACAATAATATCAACAAAAGGATATCCAAAGATTGGTACCCTGAAGCTTTGTTAGTATTAGTGTTTGACTGGATGTGGGAGTTAAATCGTAGATGTCACTTTGTAGGTATCCACACAAGTGTTAGTTATTAGCCTGTCACTTCAGCAGGGGTATAGGTTAGCAAATAGGAGATTCATCATTTTCATATTGAAATACATGTGATTATGTGTTTCATCAGTAAGTAGAATTTATAAAATCCAAATTAATATCATTCAAAAATGATAATAACTCACTGACTTTTGTCATTTCTGAATTTATACAAAAAATCAAGTTTGCAGTGCTGTGTTTTAGTAGAGAGAACTCTCGACAAGGTTGTCAGTTAAAAGAGCTTGAATAATATTTGTATGATCTTGGTCAGGTACTCAGATGTGTTTTCTCATTTATAAAATGAGAAGTCACTAGATGGACCATAATGTCATTTCTAACATGAACGTTTTTTTTTTAGTATGGTAATAACTAGCTAAGTTATAGTAGCTGAAAATCTAAAAAAAAAAATTTTTTTTTCTTTTTTACAGTTTGAATTATTTTACAGCCAGCATTTCAGTGGAAGGAAACTTACATGGTTACATTATCTCTGTACAGGTAAAATGCATTTAATTATATTTGGTTTAATGAAATTTTTTTGTCATGATTACGTTAATTTAAAAACAGATCTTCCTACAGCCTAATTATAGTTTTTAACCTTTTCTCCTCTATCTGCCTTTCTGGTTACCATTAAAACAACTAATAATGAAGTTTAAGTACAGCACTTTTTAATAGTATTTAATAATTATGCTGCTTATAATATTGCTGCTTTTAAAGAACTTTTCTGAATTTTATAATGATTTATTATATTTTTGTAGGCAGCTACTTTTTATACATATTAGAAAATTTATTTGGAAACTCAGACTTCATGGGTCAGATACTCCTAAAAAACTATTCTCTAAGTGTATCAGATGCACTCAGAAATTTCATTGACTATTATAGCATCACAAAGAGACCTAATCATTTGATTTTTTATCTGTGGTACTGTTATGAACTGCAGTAGTAAATTCTTTTTCCAGAAGGTCCCAATTAGTTTCCAGTTTAAGAAAACTTTGATTAGGGTCTAATCATTTCCTTAGCTTCTTTCTCGAACAGTGGGGTCCACTTCTTAACAGTAGGATTAATACCTGAATGATTGTAGACTGTGTACAGATGCTCTAAGTTGCCCAAAGATGTTAGCCAAAGTAAACACTCAAATTTTCTCTTTTTGCTAAACTATGCTTTGAAAAGTGTACTGCATAAACTTTTCCTTTGTAGAGGAAGAAATGGGTTATATGTTAGTATCTCTTAGAAATGGTACAAGGAGGGTGGCCAACTTTTAAAAAATTTTTTCATTTGTTCATTTAACAAAAAGTTCTCAAATACCATAAGATACCTGTTTTGGGGCCGGCCCTGTGGCACACTTGGGAGAGTGCGGTGCTGGGAGCGCAGTGGCGCTCCTGCCGCAGGTTCGGATCCTATATAGGGATGGCTGGTGCACTCACTGGCTGAGCGCGGTGCGGGCGACACCAAGCCAAGGGTTGCGATCCCATTACCGGTCATGAAAAAAGACAAAAAAAAAAAAAAAAAAAAAAAAAACCTGTTTTGGGG